CATTTTAGTGTGGGCTTCATCCACTATTCTGATAGCTGGAACATTTGTGCCAGCTGCTGGTTTGAAAGGGATGCATACCATGTGCCAATTCAGGAAGCTTTCCACGTTCCTCACTGCATGTCAGCTCAGGACCTCACTACCATGTTGGGAGGCAGTTGAAGACTAACCAATCAACATCCCAGGCTGGAGAGCAGTGCCAGCTCGGGGAGAATTTACCACCTGCAAAAAATTTAATACTCTTAACAATCTACACCATCTATCTCATCTTTACCTAGCCCCCAAACCTTACATCTGGTAGTCTTAACCATTTCAAAACTATATAGGGCATCAGTATTTTTTATTTGCCAATTCTGCAACTATTGCAGTCTAAACCATAATCTTGCGAATAACCGAGGTCCAAGGAGAGCTTTTAGGCACTACTTACAACACTTCTCCCAACTTAACCCCATTTATACTAATTTCCTTTGGTATAGCTACGACCTAATCAACTTCAGTCAGCATTTCCCAATGATCCGAGCCCCTATCAATTTTGCGCCACTATCTAAATCTCTGCTGAAGTCAAGGTACAAAAAAATCACAAACCTTATCACCATTTCCTCAACTATGCAACCTAATCCATGAACATTTAGTAATAAAACTATGCGATTCATGTATCTAGTCATGTTTCTCAAAAAGAGTAGAGAAATGGCACTTGCAATGTTACATTCTAGTAACTTTCCTCACAATAGACTAAGCTAATTGGTCACTAACTTAAGCGTTAAAGTTAGTTCAAACTTTTCCTTTAAAACTTGCTATATTAGGAACTTTCCACGACCGGCCTTTACCCGACATAATTAAATAGGGTAAAAACGGTATATTAAATGCAGTAAAACTACGGTAAATTCAATATGATAAACTTGCATTCTTTAAGCATGGGCTGCATAGTAAGTGAACTAAACTAAATGTTAAGCACCCTGGCAAACCACTTCGTTCTATTCAATTTCTTTATTTAGTCACTTTGTCCGGCTAGAATTTTTAGATTAGATTAAAGGAACACCCTCCCTGGTAACGGCTGAACTAGTTAACCAAATACAAATATTTAGGTAAAATACTTTCATAAAACCCGTCTACTTCCCCCACCAGTAGACTTGTTCAGCTAAAGGCATAATGTAATGTTCCACTTTAGTAAATAAAGACTTAAAAAAACACTACCCCATCTGTGTAGTTACCGGTTACCTGACATTCTACGCTTAAAATAACCCATCTATTCCCCATAATTGTTCGATATAACTTACCTCTCACCCGCTGGTCGAGTACACAGCAGTATATATCCTCCTCCATCACTCACCGCGTGGATACTATTTCACTCTGGCCGCAAATTGCCTCAAATCACCTACGTTGTCCATAAACATATATAGAAGAGCAACTGACCGTAACACCCGTATAGCGATCATCACATAACGTGGGAACATTAGTAGTACTGCTGTCAAAACATAGATGGCGCCAGGACAAACGGTAATTCCTATGGACTCGCCTAGTTATGCGTAGGGAATTGAGCTTCAGCTGTTTGGTCCCGCCCCTCAGCTGTATTCACCTAGTTGTACTCACCTAATTTGTGCTTGCAGGGGTTGAGCTTTGGTTCTTTGGTCCCGACTCTCAACCGTCAATCAACAGGTGTACAGGTTCCTGAGCCTATTGGGCTCTATCACATCTACATTTGCCTAAATATTACATACTTTTTAGAATCAAAAGAATATTAATAGTACAATATTAATACAATATATTTAATAACGGTTCTTACAGAGGGAGAATCAGAAATAGTGAGAATCCGTTTCGGATACAAATATCCATGGAGATACGGAATGGAAACAACTGTAGATCAGCGAACTAGCTCATCAAGATTGTAACTTGCTTAGCTAAATGAATTGTGGGGTTCAATCCCTGAGCCCATTATGTGCCTCTGTAACCCTTTCCACTACCGCCTACAAGATGGGTATGGGGTGCATAATAAATGAACTAAACTAAAAACTGATCAGCGAAGTTGCAGAACCTGTGATGAGAGTGACAGGCACTCCTAGACCACTATCTTCGTGAATGTGAACACTTGAGAGACATTAGAAGTATATGTACAATAATAAACCCCACGTTGTTTGAATTAGGAAAACACTATTTGTCAAATATTGATACTGTTCTTAAAAGATTTCCCCATTTTGCACCCGCAAGATAACGTAAAGGGCCCCTGATCTGAGGGCAGGTGCTGAGAGCGAGGGCCCCTGATCTGAGGGCAGATGCTGAGAGCGAGGGCCCCTGATCTGAGGGCAAATGCTGAGAGCGAGGGCCCCTGATCTGAGGGCAGGTGCTGAGAGCGACGGCCCCTGATCTGAGGGCAGGTGCTGAGAGCGAGGGCCCCTGATTTGAGGGCAGGTGCTGAGAGCGAGGGCCCCTGAGGGTTGGTGCTGAGAGCGAGGGCCCCTGAGGGTTGGTGCTGAGAGCGAGGGGCCCCTGATGGCACGAGAGAGGGAGGAGAATGAGACCTGTGGGAGGGTAGAGGGACAGGATAGGGGGACACATTAATAACACTTTCACACTCTTGGCGCTCAAAAAAAAATAATACCCTAGATGCTTTCGGCGCTCCGCGCGCCTACGCGGTAAGACCGAAAAAGTGTACACTCTTTTTACTGTCCTGATAATAATTGAAGGCGCACGTATTTAAATTTGGTATCACTGTGTTCGCAATAAAATTGTCTATAAGAACATATCTATAAAATGCCGCCAAACCATAAGGACTATCAACACCAAATAAAAAACTATTCAGATCACTCGCCAAGAGCGCCAAACAGCAACAAAATGTTTCCACTCTCTTAATGGTTGCGAAGCCTACAGTTGTCCTACATCGCTAATTGTGGTATCATTGGAATCGCAATAAAATTCTCTACACGGACATATGCATATAAATATAGATTCAATGTCGTAGCCCACCCAAAACAGTGTGGGAAGTGGCCGAAGTGTTACCCGCGGCAGCATATCGGCGAAACTCGCTTTGAAAAGTGTATATTCAATTCACTGTCCTGACATTATTTGTCGATGTATGTATTTCATTTGTGTACCAATGTGCTCGCAATAGAATGTTCTATAAGAACATAAGTATTAAAGGTCACATAAGGATGCGTTAGACCAGCAACATATATAAAAACTACGTTGATTACACTCGTCGTGTCAATAATACAATTGTTTTACCACGATGATTCACTGCCATGCCGTTTTCTTTTATAAGCTGTTCGGCTATTAGAGAAAACGTAAATTTCATGGCAAACATTTGTATACTATTCCCAAGTTGATCGGATAATAAATGGATTTTATACAAATATTTTTTCGATGGACTACAGGCGTCGTCTGTTATGTGGAAACGTAAGAAAATACGGTGACGACTCATGGATAATCCTAAGCGCGAAAGTGGTGTATACTGTATTAATGTATACATTAATACAGTGGTGTATAGGTGACCGCGCGTGACAACCGTAGGGTCGTGTTATGAACTGATCAACAACCCTGTTGTGGCGTCTGTGTTGGTGGTGGAGACAAATGAGATAGAAAATGTGTTTAAGAAGGAACAAGAGAAGGAAGCAGGAACAGATAATAACAAATGAGTGAAATAATAAGAAGGTGAGATAAAAAGAAGTGATGGGAAGGGAAAGAAAAGGGACCCGGGGGTTGTGAGAGGAAGGGGAGGAGGAAGACAGAGAGGAAGAAGGGAAGGAGGGGAGAGAAGAGAGACAGAGGGGTAGAGGTAGGGGGGGGATGATGTCTGAGAAGAACAGAGAAGACAATATTCCCTGGGCCGACCACTGAGTAAATATTGTGGTTATGTAACCATTGCAAGACCATCTCTCCCTCCCTCCCTCCCTCTCTCCCTCCCTCCCTCTCTCCCTCTCTCTCCCTCTCTCCCTCCTTCTCTCTCTCCCTCTCTCTCCCTCTCTCCCTCCTTCACTCTCTCCCTCTCTCTTCCCTTCTCATCCTCCCTTCCTCCTTCACTCTCTCTTCCTCTCTTCCTCCCTCACTCTCTTTCTCTCCCTCCCTCACTCTCTCCCTTTCTTGCTCCCTCTCTCTTCCTACTTCCCTCTCCCTGCCACACTCCTTCCCTCGATCCCTCTCTCACTCCCTCCCTTCCTCCCTCTCCCTCCCAACACAGTGCATGTACTCACACCTGAAGCATACCTGGAATATACCTGTAGTAGGTTCTGAGAGTTTTCTACTCCTCAAGCCAAGTCCGGGGGCCAGAGTTTTGGCACGTGACTATACTCACTAGAAGAGTGTTGTTGTCTGAAGGTTCCCGCGCACACACACACACAACCACAACAACCTGGTTGGTCCATCACCTCCCGTAGACACACACACACACATACACAACCACAACAACCTGGTTGGTCCGTCACCTCTCGCAGGAGCTTCTGTAAACTGTTCCTTGAACTCGTTCACCTTTTGTTCCAGCCTATTTCTTAGATTTATTTCTTATTTTTGTTATTTTTCATTTTCTTGCTGGATGACCTCGAATATTTTTAGTCATTGACCTCTAGTGTTCATAAAGTATTATTCCTGGTCTATTCCGTATTCCAAATTTGAAGGATGTTAATTATTAATTTAATAAGGGAGTGTTATAGGCAAATTTTACGTTCAAGAAATTGTCGAAGTGGAGAAAAATTGCTTCGGATCTGGATAAGTGAGTTCAATATAATATATTTTGGAGAACTTTTGCTGTCTCTAACACCAATATACCAGTTTTTTTTATTATAAACAATATACCTGTTTCTCTTTTTATTCTTTACTGCTAAATAATGTAAATATTAACATTTATTTTTAAATTTTTATAATTATTAGTTTTATATACGATTGGTGACTTCATATTGGATGACTAAAACTTAGAATAAACTCTTAACTTGTCAACTAAAAAATCTGAGAATAATGCTAACTTGTGGTTTTTTCATATATTAGTAGTTTAGTAAGGGTGTTTGCGTATTATTTCGCTCAGAAGCTGAAGCAGATCGGACATATCTGGAGTATAACTCTCTCAGTGTCAGTCTAACCCGAGGGAGGCAGCATCAGCACCTGGTGAGCTGTGCTTGGGAGCGTTGTGCTGTGTTGTGATGTGTTGTGATGTGTGCAAGATCCTTCCTGATACAGTAACCTACGCTTTCGATTTACATACCAGGATCGAAGGTTCGATCCCTAGGCCGGACCGGAGAGAAATAGTTGGGCATGCAGATGAAGAGTCACAATAACGTGGCTGAAAAATGTCTCTCTCTCTCTCTCTCTCTCTCTCTCTCTCTCTCTCTCTCTCTCTCTCTCTCTCTCTCTCTCTCTCTCTCTCTCTCTCTCTCTCTCTCTCTCTCATGAGACTCGACTTGATAATGGTCCAGGGCGGAGCGAAACGTCGTCCTCTCGTCAATTTCTAGTGTGTGGTTTGGTCAACACAGTTGGGCATGTTCATTTGACGCCTGTGTTCAACAAGCAGTAGCTAGTTACTTGAGAATTCAAGAATGAAGCCCAGAGAAGGGCAGTTGTTTTCACCCGCGGGAGATCTTGATAAGTACAGACCTCTTGTCCTCGACAACGCGGGATTGTTTTTACAGCGAAAATGTTTATTGTTTACTTGCCTCTCGTCCACAGACAGGTGGAGGTAGGAGAGTATATAAATACGCAAGTTTACCTGCGAGTTGTTTCAACAAGACTAAAACCAGTGCACTAAAACAGAAGCGATAAATAAACAGGGGAAAAGAAGGAATCCCCTCCTTCATTTTAAACTTAGACCCAAATATCACAGTAACAAGGTTATTGCGAATAACCGAACTCAATTACGGGCTCACCATAGCCCGTGCTACATGGACACATCGTTCTGAGTAGCTAAATCTGAAACAACAACAACCTGCGAGTTTGCGATGAAAGTTCTCAATCAAAATTCCTGAACGTAAATAGTGCTACAAATATATTTAGGTGATGATACTCAAAGCAGTATTAGGCCGATTACAATTGTGAAACCCCCCATGATAACCCACACAGTCCACACAGCTCCTGTACGAGTCCTTCAGGATAACACCCCCATACATAGTGCCTCACAACCAAACACATGTTGCATGAAAGAAGCAACATTGCAAGAACAACCATCTGTGCATTAACTCTAAATTCCTCAAGCAGCTGAGGGGTCTGACTGCAAGCTCCTTATATCTCAGATCACCTTTTCCTAACTTCAGGAGACTGTGTGGGGGATATTTACAGGTCGGGAAGGCTCAGGTATAAGCCTCCTACTATTACGTGTAAATAATATAAAATTTTCCATCCTAGGATTCTGTTCTTTGACCTGTGAAGACTTGTGGTGAAGATGCGTCCATTCCCTTGGAGGTTCATCTTCTTGATGCTGGCGGTTGTGGCTTGTAAGTTATAAGGTGTTGTTGCTTAGTTAGCTTGGCTGGTTATGTAACGTGTGTTTGTCCTGCGTCGTTACTGCTTGTAGCTTGTAATGTGTGATAGTGTTGTACAGTCGTAGTGTTGTTTCTTTGGAGTTTGTTTAGGTGTAGAGAATTGTTTGTGACTTGTAATCTTGACTAAGTTGCTTCTGTTGTTTGTGTTTTGCTTGTCATCGTGTTGTTGCTTTCTCCTGTGTCCTGCACAGCCCTCAATTGTGTACCGGTTCTGCCCCCCCCCCCCCAAGTCTGTACCGGTCCTGCCCCCACCCCAAGTCTGTACCGGTCCTGCCCCCACCCCAAGTCTGTACCGGTCCTGCCCCCACCCCAAGTCTGTACCGGTCCTGCCCCCACCCCAAGTCTGTACCGGTCCTGCCCCCACCCCAAGTCTGTACCGGCCCCCCCCCCTTAAGTCTGTACCGCCCTTCCCCTAAGTTTGTATCTGTCCTGCCCCCCCAAAAGTCTGATGCACCAAGCCCCTAACTGCTGAACTGTGTCATTACAGGCGTGAGTGAGGGTGCACAGTGCCCCAGGGTGTGTCCCCAGCACATCTCCCCTGTGTGTGGCTCCAACCACATCACCTACGCCAATGGCTGCAAGCTGGATCAAGCAGCCTGTCATGACCATTTCTTGAGGAAGATGCACAATGGCCATTGCAGTGAGTTATTTTTTTAATTATTGTTGTTCCATAGTCCTTAGTTTAAAACATTCAGTAACTCATTGTTTTTGTGATTTGAAATTGTTTTATTAGTTTTAAAATAAGCAAAGGGGTGATAGCTCACTTTGTACTCACCTAGTTATATTCACCTAGTTGTACTTGCGGGGGCTGAGCTGTGCTCTTTCGGCCCGCCTCTCAGTTATCAATCTATCAACTGTTTCTAACTACTATTTTTTTTTGTTCACACTTGCACACACTCCCAGGAAGCAGCCCGTAACAGCTGCCTAACTCCCAGGTACCCATTTACTGCTAGGTAACAGGCGCATTAGAGTGAAAGAGACTCTGCACATTGTTTCTCGCCGGCGCCGGGAATCGAACCCGGGCCACAGGATTACGTGTCTAGCATGCTAGCCACAAGGAACCCACTTTGTGCAGGCAAAGCGAGGATATTAGTTGTATAAATGATTTTTTTTTGTATTTGTTGAAGAGTTTCCGAGCGTCCAAGTGGTTGGGCACCACTCCCCCCTCCCCCGTCCCATCCCAAATCCTTATCCTGACACCTTCCCAGTGCTATATAGTCGTAATGACTTGGCGCTTTCCCCCTGGTAGCGCCCTTCCCTTCCCTTGTTGAAGAGTTTGTAGTCACGGCGTTGATTAGATAAAGTTTCCCCTCTGATTAAAGTATCTTAATATGTAAAGCTTTTATACGGAATATTCTTGGGTTTGGTGTTGGGCATTTGGTCTCTAAACCTGTGGAGGGTTATTAAGCCCTCAACTACTCTACTAACCAGGCAGTATGTGTACTGTTGTCCTGGATATACTTCACGACTAACGTAATCTCTTAATGTATATATATACACACATAGAAATACACCTCTTGATGTATTTATTCGTGTCAGAGAGAGTCAATAGCAAATCGTAAAAATAAGTTAAGAGCACAAATAAAATAAATATCAGAGCTTAATTATATATATATATATATATATATATATATATATATATATATATATATATATATATATATATAATTATATATATATATATATATATATATATATATATATATATATATATATATATAATTATATATATATATATATATATATATATATATATATATATATATATATATATATATATATATTAACACGTATTCGATCTTTACAATAAATAATCATTTTTTTTGAGTGGTATTGATGATAAGGGAAATACTTCGCATCATCCTACCAACTCTAAACAATCGGCAACGTAATTTTTTTTTCTTTTATTGTAACTAGCATATGTCAACAATTAAGAGAATTAGCAAATATATAAATCAAATAAATTGACCAAAGGTTACCCTCCTGTTAAGGAGTGGTAGAAATAGCCTAAGCTACTCTATCACTTCGAGATGTATTTTTTTGTCTCCATAAACGTACTTGAACTTAAACCCTTATCTGAACCGTCAGATCTTGAGATTGTTTACATAAAAAAAGACATGTTCTCTTTGGCAGAGGGGAAGCCTAACTGCGACAAGGGTTGTTTATCCTATGGGGCCAACGTGTGCGGGTCGGACAAGAAGACCTACAGTAACTCCTGTGTACTGAACTTCGAGGCCTGCATGAACCCTAATCTCAATCTAAGGGTCGCCTATAAGGGCCGATGTCGTTAGGTACTGTATATATGTGTGTGTTTATGTGCTTCTTCCCAGGTACTTGCCAACATTTCCGGCCAATTCTTGGCTATTTTGTTTTTTCTATTTCAAAATTTTAGGCTTTTCCTCGTTATTTTTTTTTCTTATTTAATAAATGTATCTTCGTGTCTATAATCCTATTCACTATTTTTTGTTCTAATTATAAACTATGCAATTTAAATCAGATTTGTTTGTGATTTAACTTAAGTTGATACCTTCGAAGCCTCCTTCAGGTGACCTAAAACGTAAATTAGTTGACGTAGTGCTCTTTCCTTTGAATTTTCAGATTAGATTCCAGCTTGCAACTCAGACGCGAGGAACGAAGCAACGGCTTGGACAAACCCAGAAAGGATTCATCTTATCTCTAAGACTCTCACACAACTTGGCAATGGCGTCTCACCCTTTGTTTGATCACCAATTCTGACTGCAGTCGTGCTGCGCAGTGTGGGGGTTTTGGTCACTGTATTTGTAACTTGAGGATTCTCCATATAAATATACTAAATAAAAGTTGAAAATTATGCAATTTTCTTTGTAGTTTGTCTAACAATTTGCTACATGGCTGATCTCATGAGTCTCTGAAATCTGAACAACGAGAAAAGGCACAGGGAACGAGACCTTGCTAATCTGGAAGAGAGAAAGGTAAAAGGAAACATAATCACGACATACAAGATTCTTAGAGGCATTAACAAGGACAAAATGGATACTGTGGGGACTCGTCAAACAGGCTGGAGTTAGTCTCATCCAGGTGAAGGAAAACATAACGAGGGGAACCAGATATGTGTAAGGAAATACTCATTTCCAGTGAGAATGGTAAACCTGGAAGAATCAACTTTTCCCAGAGGTGGTGCAAACTGCCCTCATACACAGCAACAAGGACAGATATGAGAGTACTGGCAGGTATGTGAGAGTACTGGCAGGTATGTGAGAGTACTGGCAGGTATGTGAGAGTACTGACAGGTATGTGAGGATACTGGCAGGTATGTGAGAGTACTGGCAGGTATGTGAGGATATTGGCAGGAATGTGAGAGTACTGGCAGGTATGTGAGAGTACTGGCAGGTATGTGAGAGTACTGGCAGGTATGTGAGAGTACTGGCAGGTATGTGAGAGTACTGGCAGGTATGTGAGGATATTGGCAGGTATGTGAGAGTACTGGCAGGTATGTGAGGATATTGGCAGGAATGTGAGAGTACTGGCAGGTATGTGAGAGTACTGGCAGGTATGTGAGAGTACTGGCAGGTATGTGAGAGTACTGGCAGGTATGTGAGAATACTGGCAGGTATGTGAGAGTACTGGCAGGTATGTGAGAGTACTGGCAGGTATGTGAGAGTACTGGCAGGTATGTGAGAGTACTGGCAGGTATGTGAGAATACTGGCAGGTATGTGAGAGTACTGGCAGGTATGTGAGGATATTGGCAGGTATGTGAGAGTACTGGCAGGTATGTGAGGATATTGGCAGGAATGTGAGAGTACTGGCAGGTATGTGAGAGTACTGGCAGGTATGTGAGAATACTGGCAGGTATGTGAGAGTACTGGCAGGTATGTGAGAGTACTGGCAGGTATGTGAGAGTACTGGCAGGTATGTGAGAGTACTGGCAGGTATGTGAGAATACTGGCAGGTATGTGAGAGTACTGGCAGGTATGTGAGGATATTGGCAGGTATGTGAGAGTACTGGCAGGTATGTGAGAGTACTGGCAGGTATGTGAGAGTACTGGCAGGTATGTGAGAGTACTGGCAGGTATGTGAGAGTACTGGCAGGTATGTGAGAGTACTGGCAGGTATGTGAGAATACTGGTAGGTATGTGAGAGTACTGGCAGGTATGTGAGAGTACTGGAAGGTATGTGAGAGTACTGGCAGGTATGTGAGAATACTGGCAGGTATGTGAGAGTACTGGCAGGTATGTGAGGATATTGGCAGGTATGTGAGAGTACTGGCAGGTATGTGAGAGTACTGGCAGGTATGTGAGAGTACTGGCAGGTATGTGAGAGTACTGGCAGGTATGTGAGAGTACTGGCAGGTATGTGAGAGTACTGGCAGGTATGTGAGAATACTGGTAGGTATGTGAGAGTACTGGCAGGTATGTGAGAGTACTGGAAGGTATGTGAGAGTACTGGCAGGTATGTGAGAATACTGGCAGGTATGTGAGAGTACTGGCAGGTATGTGAGAGTACTGGCAGGTATGTGAGAGTACTGGCAGGTATGTGAGAGTACTGGAAGGTATGTGAGAGTACTGGCAGGTATGTGAGAATACTGGCAGGTATGTGAGAGTACTGGCAGGTATGTGAGAGTACTGGCAGGTATGTGAGAGTACTGGCAGGTATGTGAGAGTACTGGAAGGTATGTGAGAGTACTGGCAGGTATGTGAGAATACTGGCAGGTATGTGAGAGTACTGGCAGGTATGTGAGAGTACTGGCAGGTATGTGAGAGTACTGGCAGGTATGTGAGAGTACTGGCAGGTATGTGAGAATACTGGCAGGTATGTGAGAGTACTGGCAGGTATGTGAGAATACTGGCAGGTATGAGCATGCACACATTCTCGTCTCTATATAGGCCATAGTCCTGTTGCTGTGAGAGTGAGGAGAGAGATACTGCTGTGAGAGTGGGGAAGGAACGCTACGTGGAAGCTCATAAATTTACGTCCCTCTGACTGGGCCCAATAATGCTGAAGCACCTCCCCACACAGATCAACACAGCTATAATGTATTGAGCTCCGTGTAGACGATTATAAGCACCACAATCACCACAGCCACAATCACCACAGCCACCACCACCACCACCACCACCACAATCACCACAGCCACCACCACCACCACCACAATTACCACAACCAGGCTTGCTGGTGTACTGGACAGTCTAATAGCTTCTTGAACACAACCACATTTCTTTAGGCAATGTTTCTTGCACTCGTTGGGAGGAAATTTTAAATGTTTTGGACTTCTAATGTTTATACAGTATTGTCTGATTGTGCCTATGGCACCTCTTTTTTTTCTCCACTGGGTCTATTCTGCATTCTACGTTATTTTAACTGAACCATATTATCTGTTTAGTTAATGGTTTCATGCCCGAAATTTACTTTTACATCAAGAAATTGTCCAAATGGAGACAATGTCTTCGAAATTTTGATATAAATGAGTTTGACAATAAATTTTCATAAGTTTTGTTCTTTCTAACATCAATATACTTTTGTTTACGTATGTGTATGTCTCTCATTTTATTTTTTTATTGCAAAAAATATAAACATCAACAACAATTTTTTTTTCGAGATTGTTAGCTTTATGTATGATTGGAGACTCTTCAAATATTGTCACTAAAGCCAAGGAGATATTCTTGACTCATTCAATAAGATCTGGGAATAGAATGATAACATTTAGTTCTTAATAATTATAACTTGGCATCTCTGTGTGCTCAATATTTTGTCTAAGTTGGAGCAAAACCTTCAACATTGGGATCCAATGTTGTCACCTCAATGTCGACCTCACTACGGGGAAAGCAAGACGTGGTGAGTACTGTGCTCGAGCTCTGTACTTTGTTGTGGTCTGTACTTTGTCTGTACTTTGTACTTTGACAGATATATGGGTCCTCTTAGACATTTAAAGGTCTTTTAAGACTTCATAATGTATTTTTTTCATGTCAGTCAAAAATATTATAAATAAAATCTTAGAAATCAGTTGTCAAAGTTTATTTCAACAAACTTGTGCATAATTTCATCAAGCAGCTGAGAACTTGACTAAGTTCCTCATATCTCAGGTCAACTGTTCCTAACTTCAGCAGACTGTGGGGGTATTTGCAGGCCGGGAAGGCTCAGCTTTGGCCTACTGTTACGTGTAAATAATATATAATTTTCCATCCCAGGGTTCTGTTCTTTGTCCTGTGAAGACTTGTGATCAAGATGCGTTCATTTCTCTGGATGAGCACCTTCTTGATGCTGGCGCTTGTGGCTTGTAAGTTATAAGGTGTTGTTTCTTAGTTTGCTTGGCTGGTTATATAACGTGTGTTTGTCCTGTGTCATTAATGCTTGTAGCTTGTAATGCAAAGAGTTTGCGCAATTAATGCCCCGTATCAATGTATAATGCGTTTCTGTAATTGGTTAACTGCAGCAATCCTCCCAATTACACAGACCCCCCCTGCAGTCTGTACCGGACCGACTACTTTTCTACCGTCCTCCCAATCTGCACAAGTACAGCTCACTACACTCCCAGCCTGAACCTCTGTAACCCCCTCTACCCCCCTCCTCCCACACACTCAGTCTGCACAGGTGTGGCCCCTTCAACCTGTCTTCAGGGAGGAGATCCCCTCAAATTAATGGATTGTGAACGACCTCATAATTAGTGATATTATCTACTCTCTATCCATGGTTCGGTTAGGTTAAGGTTTGGTTAAGTTAGGTTAGGTTTTATTACGTTTGATTACGTTAATGCAGTGTATTATCGACGATAATGTGAAATATAGAATTCGAAAACTATTTCAATGTGTCCGAGAATTTCACTTACAGAGAACCAAATTCTTCAAAAAAAACTTTTTCAGCAAACACTTTAATATTTTAATACAATAAAGTTATAACGTTTGAACAAAATAAATAAGTAAATAAATAAATAAATATATATATATATATATATATATATATATATATATATATATATATATATATATATATATTTTAATAACAAAGGTTCATTTGCCAGTTTACATGTAGATTATTACTGGAACCGTAATATGCTCTCAGATCATCACAAATATCTGGATAAGTATCCAGGTGGATTGAAGGAGGGGGGGGGAGGGGAAGGGGGAGTGTGAGGTCTCTCATGGTAATGGATTTGCTGTGAGGACGGGGTCAACCCCCCCACCTTTTCATCCAAACAACACCGACCTTACTCGCTACATAGCCCCTCCCCACCCACAGTCTAAGGCACCAATCACGTAACACACACACACACACACACACACACACACACACACACACACACACACACACACACACACACACACACACACACACACACACACATAAATCACAGTAACGAGATGTATCAATGAGAAAATCCGTAAGAACCGTGATGGGGGGATTCGAACCCATGAACCTGAGTATTCCCCCCCCTAAGATACACACAGACAGCCAGACAACAACACGACCTAGTTGTTCTCCGGAGCGCTTGTGTGTGTGTGTGTGTGTGTGTGTGTGTGTGTGTGTGTGTGTGTGTGTGTGTGTGTGTGTGTGTGTGTGTGTGTGCATCTGGGAATACCCAACACATAGGTTCGAATCCCCGCTATCACGACTTTGTCACCTGATATTGTCCTTACAGCAATGAGCCGCGGGTACTATTGCCCCCTGGCCTGCCCCCTCCACTACTACCCTGTGTGTGGCTCCAACCACTTCACCTACGACAACGAGTGCAGGTTGAAGCAGGCGGCCTGCTTCAACCGTCTTATAACGAAGCTGAGAGCTGGTCGCTGTGGTGAGTTCTTTTATTGTCATTTTTTCCTACAATTTCCTACACTTCCTACACTGTATTTTGTCCGATTTAAAACAATCGGTGATTCTTCGCTAATGGGATTTTTTTTAATTTGTTTTTTTTATATAAAAACAAAATGGTGATAGCTGGTTTTGTGTGAACACGTCGAGGATGTGATTGTAATTGTTTAATTCTATTTTTGTGTGTGTTGCTTCGAGAGTTCTTATTCATGTTGTTTAGTAAACAATGTTTATCTGTGGGTAGATATTGTTGTGAATATTGTGAAAGGTTAATAAGTTGACTTACAGCTGTTGCCCTTGAATTTTCCAGAGTAGATTCCAGCTTGCAACTCAGACACGTGAGGCACGAAGCAACGTCTTGGACAGACTCAGGAGGGATTCATCTTATCTCAAAGACTCTCACACAACTTGGCAATGACGTCTCACTCACCCTTTGTTCAAACCCCATTTCTGACGGCAGTCGTGCTGCGCAGTGTGGGGGTTTTGGTCACTGTATTTTGTAACCTAAGGATTCGCGATATAAATATACTGAATAGAACTTGAAAACAAATTAAAGTTTAAAATTATGCAGCTTTCTTTGTAGTTATTTTCCTGTCTATTTAGTCTAACAAACAGACACATACGAGCACATATTACGCACATAAAACAATCATTAATGATAATTTCCTGAGATTTTCTACATGGTTGAGCTACGAGAGAAGTCTGAGGGAATTAGACCTCATTCCGTTGGAAGAGAGAAGGGTAGGAGCAGACATAATCACGACATATAAGATTCTTATAGACATTAACAAAGACAAAACAAACACACACACACATACACAACAAGAGGTTCCAGGAGGTCTTCACAATAGAACAAGGTGAGGTCACTGTGCTAGGAGAAAGGGAAGTAAACCAGGCGGCCTTGGAAGGGTTCGAAATTACGAGAGAGGAGGTCAAGAGACACCTGCTGGATCTGGATTTTAGAAAGGCTGTTGGTCCAGATGGGATCTCACCATGGGTACTGAAAAATTGTGCAGAGGCACTTTGCTTGCCACTCTCCATAGTGTATAGTAAGTCACTAGAGACGGGTGACCTACCAGAAATATGGAAGACGGCGAATGTGGTCCCAATATACAAAAAGGGCGACAGGCATGAGGCACTGAACTACAGGCCAGTGTCCTTGACTTGTATACCATGTAAGGTATATAGTCGGGATATTGGGATCATTACCCAATGGCTTTCGTCGTGATCTGGTCCTCTGGTAATTTCATTCGTGTTGAATTCGTTTTGTAGAGCAGCAAATAGGTTTTGGTTCGATTATTATCCATCAACAATTAATTTTCTTTCTTGTAATCTTCGTTTTTTTGGTGATAACTTTTCTCTTCTTTTCGAGTTTTCCCGCCAAAACACACAACGAAACTACGACGTTGGTACAACGTTCGAACAAGTTAAAACACCTCCTAACCAGTTATAACAACCAATATAGCAAGTTGTAACAACGTTCTAATACGTCATAAATACGTTAAGCCAAAGATGTAACAACTTTATTACAAGTTGTAACAAGCGGAAAATAGAGACAGTTTCGGTTTGTGTTTCCAGGGAATTACTAGTAAGTGATTTTTATCCTTGAGGAACTCTTCTTGTCTGCTCGTTAAAATCATTTTTGTCTTTAACACAAGACTGAAAATCTTAAGATTGACAGAGTGAGACGTGATCACAATCACGCCGAGGGCAAGAAGCCCAAACAGCTCTCACTAGACAACACTCTACGTGACGACAACTGAACCCACTGTCATAACAGCAACTTCATCACTACCTTGGTTCAACTCTTCAATAACATCTTGAGGTTATCTTGAGATGATTTCGGGGCTTTAGTGTCCCCGCGGCCCGGTCCTCGACCAGGCCTCCACCCCCCAGGAAGCAGCCCGTGACAGCTGACTAACTCCCAGGTACCTATTTATTGCTAGGTAACAGGGGGACATAGGGTGAAAGAAACTCTGCATATTGTTTCTCTCCGGCGCCCGGGATCGAACCCGGGACCACAGGATCACGCGTCCAGTGTTCTGTCCGCTCAGCCGTCGGCTCCCTTACATAATAATAACTAGGCCACACCGGAGAATTCTACTGACACATACTTGGCGGGTACCGCTTACCTCCACCCCCCCCCCCCAGCCCCTCCTTCTCTCCTGTCTATCTATCCAATCTATCGTGAAGCCAGTTGACGATCCGTGACGTTTAAGACGTGTTCAGGACGTCTGTGCTGCAAGCAGTGACGCTGATCGTTCTCGTCAAAAAGACAAAAAAAACTTACTCCGAGGGGAAAATGAGTGATAAATGTCACGTAAAATGTAATGTTGATAAAACACAAATGTATTTGGGTTTGAAACTCATCAGTTTTGCAACTGAGCAGCAGCTGTTATAAAAGGCTTTTGAGCTATAAAAGGTTTGAGAGCCTATCGTGTGCTGTCAGTCGTGTTACAACCCTCAGCAGAGCACAGAACTCGCCGTCGCAGGAGGAGAGCCGTGAGTACGACATTTCCCTCACTATCCTGGACTACGTGAAGGTCCCAGCGCAGTATGGATTAAAACTATGAACGAGAGTTTTGACTGCAGTTTGCTATGATACACACTGTATGTGTTATGTGCAAATTAAACAGCTGGAGCTGCCAGTATCTCTGAGGAAGACTGGGCTGATGATAGAGACCGGCTTGTGTGTCTGTGTCTGACACACTGAGCAAGGAAAACACTGAACAAATCCACAAGGGCCGTGACGAGAGTTCGAACCTACATCCAGGAGGATCCCAGATGTTGCCTTAATCGACTGAGCTACGACATGGCTAAAAGAATTGCAACCGGGAGTGCTACTGCCTTCACACGGATCCTGCAGCCTCTCCGAGACACAAACCAGAGTTTCACACAATTTCCCCCATGCACCCGAGCTCTGCCAATAGGCTGTTCTACATACTTCCCTACACACAGAAATCACAATAGCGTGATGCATCAAATGAACAAATCCACAAGGGCCATGACGAGGGTTCGAACCTACGTCAGAGAGGATCCCAGAAGCTGCCTTAATCGACTCCAAGACATAAACCTGGTTTGTGTGTCGGAGAGACTGCAGGACCCGTGGTAGGTGAGGATGATTTCCCGGTTGCAATTCTATTAACGATGTCGTAGCTCAGCCGATTAAGGTAACATCTTGGATCCTCCCGGACGTAAGTTTGAACCCTCGTCACGGCCCTTGTGGATTTGTTCATGTGATGCATCACGGTAGTGTGATTTGTGTGTGTAAGGAAAACACTCTTATCTGAGGAAGGGTCGACTTAACAGAATATTTATAATTTCCTGATAATGTGAACTATATATAGGCTGCCGAACCTTAACACAATAAAGGGAAGGTGTGTTTATATGAGAAGAGGTATCAGGGTCTGACAATGGATGAATAACAAATGTATAATGCAATAAAATGGGGGATTGGAAACTCAGCACAGATTTTAAAAGTGGTAGACAATCGCTTTCTTAAACAATGTGTTATAGAACTTAAAGAGAGAAACATATGTCAGACAGTTCAGACCAAGATGGAGACACATCACAATATGGCCTCGACCAAAAGGGTGCGGGTTTGGGAGACAAAGATGATAAGATACATAATACATGTATTATACTGTACAGAACAAATGGTAAGGTTTTGTGAGAGAAAGTTCCGTCACAATACCAGATTTCAGTCAATCAAATTATAATGGTTAGAGGAGTCACGTGGGGGATGGCAGAGTTGGGGGACCTGGACATACAACAGGGGTGTCCTGGGGCGTGACGTGACACCAGCGACGGGAGACACGACGGTGGACTGCAATATATATTCAAATTTAATGAGTAGAAGTCATTAAACAAATTCTTTATTAAGGCCAAGAATGCCGTACAACAGACGGGCTTGAGTCCCCTGTGTTGGGTCTTAGAGGGTCTCAGATTAAAGATCAGCAGCGAGTCACAGGTCAGCAGCTGGTCAGCAGTGGGTTCAAGGGTCAATAGCAGATGAAGGATTAGCAACGGGTCTAGAGTCACGGGTCAGCTGGTGATCGTGAGTCAGTAGCGGGTAGCAGGTCAGCAGCGCGTCACAGGTCAGCAGCGGGTTACAGGTCAGCAGCGGGTCACAGGTCAGCAGCGGGTCACAGGTCAGCAACAGGTCACAGGTCAGCAGCGGGTCACAGGTCAGCAGCGGGTCACAGGTCAGCAACAGGTCACAGGTCAGCAGCGGGTCACAGGTCAGCAGCGGGTCACAGGTCAGCAGCGGGTCACAGGTCAGCAGCGGGTCACAGATCAGCAGCGGGTCACAGGTCAGCAGCGGGTCACAGATCAGCAGCGCGTCACAGATCAGCAGCGGGTCACAGGTCAGCAGCGAGTCACAGATCAGCAGCGGGTCACAGGTCAGCAGCGGGTCACAGGTCAGCAACAGGTCAGCAGCGGGTCACAGGTCAGCAGCGGGTCACAGGTCAGCAGAGTATGCGTTATAATATACGATTTTCTTCCCCCAAGGTTGTGTTCTGCGAACTTGTGAAGACTTGTGGTGATGGTGCGTTTACTGACCTGGACCCTGGTCCTGCTCGTGGTTGTGGCTTGTAAGTTATTAAGTGTTGGTTGTATCGTCAGTGATTGTAGCCATTCTGGCTTAGTGTCGTTACCTTGCTTTGTCTCTGAAGTTTGTGGGTTATTAGTTAAATTAATCTGATATTATTGCATGTTTTTGTCTCATTTGTGTACTGTATGGTGTTCGAGTGGTAGTTGTTTGATCAATGTGCTTGTTATTGTCAGTCGTTTTCATTCTAATGTAATCATCGTGGTCTTTAATAATCGTATTATTGCTACACATTGACCTATATTCTGGTACGTTTGGTTGATATTAAAATTAAACAAAATCCCAATACAAGCTTCTGTTGTTCGGCTGAATTATATTGATGCAAAGTGGATTTTGTATTTTGAAACGTATTGAACTAGAAATTGTGTATCAATATTATCTATTATGTCCTCATGAATGTCTTAAAGTAACAATGTTCACCCTAACATTACAGCAAGTATGGCCCAAGTTGACCGGTGGCCTTACTGGTGCCCACCGATCTACCAGCCAGTCTGTGGTTCTGACTTCTTCACCTACTACAACTACTGCTACCTGTTAAATGCAGCTTTTTACAGCCCAGGTCTGACGGTGCTGTACGATGGCCCTTGTTTTTAGGGTGAGTTTTTGTATGATAATTTGCGTCATTTATAATGTGTCTCAAACTCACATCTTATGACTGGTAAGGTAATTATCAAGGGAAAAACCTCGGGCCTCTAGTCAGAAGGTTTCTGACAGTTTCGTCTTGGGAGGAACACGACGGAATATCAACTTCTTCGAACACCATATCAAGGATATCTACGACCAGAGGAGGGTTCTCCTTGCCGCGAAGTTGGATTTATACAGAGCTCTGGACATGTCCTATAGGGGTCTAGCCCCCGTTGGGCTTTAAGCGAAAACAATCTGTTATATTCAGAACTATTTGGTGCCCCGTTCTTTCCGGTAGCTACGCGATACCAGGTCTTCACGTCTGGCTCGAT